TGCATGCGCGCGAGATCTTGCTATTTTGACCATGTCAGCATGTCTATACAACTAATATATCTTCTTATTATAAGTTTCAAATCATTTCATCAAAAAATAGAAAAGTTACGGCTATATCTATTATATTGGCCATTTCACGTGTTGCACGTGCACGCTCTTGCAAGCACGTGCGCGCAAAATGACCTTGATTCCGCAAATGTACATAACATGTCTACTGACCCTAAAAAGGTTTTACCTACATCGGATGAACAGTTTACAAGATCACTCCCAAAAAAAGTACCCAGGAAGAAGAAGAAAAAAATAATAATAATAACTAGATGTGAAGCTCGTTGCGAGCAACGAGAGGTCTTCCGTCCGATTCCGGAAAGAAAACGTTAAATCGAGCTGAAAAAGTAAACAAAAATTGCACATAAGGGGGATTGAGTCGTCAGCATCAAAATCCAGCATGAAAATCCAAATATTACGCTTTTGTGACCTCTGCTCAATTTTCTTTTATATACCTCTGTATAACAGTGATTTTGTCTTAGAATGATGAAAGGCGAGTCACTATTCATAATTTCGCGCGAAACGCCACAAATTAATCTTAGCGCCTTTTCTTTGGAATGTTTTATCTAATAGGTATGATAGCTTCAATGAAATAAAAAAATGTTCCTATAGCCTTAAAGTCGAGGATAAGAAAGCATATTCAACACATTTAATTTTACAAATTCCATATCGTATGTAAGCAAGTAAGACTAAAGCAGTGATACGGCTATGGATTTTTGACTTTTTTTAATTTCCTTTTTATCCCCACAGTGAACTCTCCCGATTAGTTAAACTTTCATGAAAAAGTTGTACTGTTTGCCGAAAAACATGTCTCGCCTTTCGACAGTCAGGGAATTGGATCCATTTGTGCTCAATAACTTGAATCAGATCTTCGAGACAATAATTTTCATATAAACCCCATTAAGCGACCTTTTAAAAATAGTTATCTTATTTTGTATTATGACACAAGTTTTACACTTACTGTATTCATTAATATTCTTTCTTGAAAAACTATTACTTATATATAACTTACAATGATTGAAGAGCTGTTTTTCCGTGGTGCAAATCAGAAGATATAAAGTATCGAATTTCATTTACACCTTTAGTCTTTTCTTTTTCTACTTTGAGAACCAGCCAAAACCAATTACAGAAGACGTTTAAGAAGAACTTAGTTTGACACAGAATTACAACGTAACTATGACGTGACAATCCAAGTATTCCTTTACATTTCTTTTGTCCCTATGTTACTTTCGCTCAAGCAAACGCTCGGCTGCATCCGTAAACCCCCATTGCGAAATGTCGGAGTTGACAGAGACAGCCGCCATATTGGACCCGCTTCAGATTTTTAAATGCTTATATTTAGAGTTTGGATTTATCAATTAACAAACAAATCATATAGTAAGCATTATAAGAAGGGTTACTGTTAGCATTCCAAAAATAAATGAAAAATATTGGAAAACAAAAAAGTTAGAAAAAACGATTTTTTTGAATTCGCATCTGGTAACGACCGGAAGTACTGACGGCGAACGAAAAGGTGATTCTGCAAACCACAAAGTCATGTACTATCGTCTCCAATAAGTCTCCATATCATATCGTTAGCCATTTTCGAAAAAAAAGGGGCGACAAAATCGCATTTTAAAATCAGGAAATCGACCATAACTTAGCACCAGAAGCGAATTTTCCAAATTTCTCTTCGGATGTAACAACTTCATATAATGACACATATTTTTTGAAAGTTTCATGAAAAACCGCTGAACAGTTTTCGAGAAATCGCCTGCACAAAATTTTGTCAAAAAAAAGAATAATAAGAATAATAAGAAACAATACAATCACTATAAGGTCTTCCGTGAAGACGGAAGACCTTAATAAGAAACAGAGTAAAAACAATATGTTCCCCAACTTCGTTTGGGGAACATAACAAAGTTATCATGCCCAAAGTTAAAAACAAACAAACGTAAAGAACCAACCAAACAAAGAAAAACTGAAATGTTGATTTCATTACAGTTATAAATGGAAATAAACCTGTTTACTTTTTGGCTTGATTACAAGTACAAACTTTTCTAACAACTTTTTTTTGATTGATTATAGAATTTCTAAGTCCAATCAATTTGCTATATATCGGTATTACAAAAACTGTATTGCAATGAATCGAAATATCGATGTTTTTGCCCAGCCCTTACTGCAGGTTTATTTCGAGTACAATGGCGTATTGAATGATCTTGAATTCATGTTAAAACGTGGTCTTAATGTAAAATTAAAGGCCATAATAGCATATCTCATTTCATGTAAAAGTATTTTTATTAATATTTGCCTCTGTAGGATACCAAATAGGTAAACTAGAAAAGAGGCTCATGTGGTACCCATGGGAATTCCTACTGAACTGATTGTTGGTCTCCAAAGAGTACATATATAATGACATTGAAAATCTAAAGCATCTTTTCAATATAATTTTCAGAATACATGTAAGCAGAACAAGAGAAATCAGAGATAAAAAAAAAAAGTAATTGTCTATAATTTCAATAGCCTGGTCTTTCATTCATCTTGGGGAATATACAGAGTGTTGAAAAGTTAAAAATTCATGGTATTTATTTTGGAAAAATTTAATATTCATAGATAAGGAAAACCAAATATTCGATGTTTAATTTTACTAAACCCATTAATAATTTGCTTGTCACAAAATATTTTTGTGCACGTGATATAACTGTGAGTTCCAAGTATGCACTCAAATAAACCGGTTGTTTTATTCAATCTTTAAATCTTTATGTCTTTAAACATTATTAATTGGATATCAAATTTTATACCTTTTCATTTAATATATGATTTTAAAATTTTATTAAGCACTGTTTATTTTCTTATCTGTTCTTTGTCAAGTAATATAGAATACTACATAAACAAAATTACTTCTATACTTTTGTTGAATATTTTTAAAGGTGCATCATAGTTCCTGTATTTTAATTTGTGCGAGTAATTTGGTAAACAGAGAGCCGAATAGTCAGTGTAATAACCTGCCTCCCTCCTAAAATAAATATGCTTTATGATATAGTGATAATAGCAAGTGTAAAAGAGTATTAAAAAACGTTTCCTTTTGCAATTTTATCCTTTTGCAGACTTTTTTAAAAAAAATTATATTCTGAAATATTATTTGAAGAAAATACAGATATAAACGCCATCACGCGGAGACTAAATGTTGTCTGTTCATAAACGCAGAAGATTAAATTTTTCAATTTGTTTGTGCGCTGATAGTGACTGTAATGTATCAGTGTGTGTACATACTAGGTACAAAAGAGCAGGCAATTTAGACTCCGGGAAACGGCGCGCGACAAAGACCGCTATTCAAGATAAAAACATATCAAAATCTGACATCGATTTCTCTCATTAAGTAAACCACTAAACTTTTAAATCATATTCTGAAATCGCTGTGAACGCACCGAAGATGATTGCCAATGTTCAGAGCCATTTGTCATTCCATAATAAGGAAGTGAACATCGGCCTTGTGTAGATGATTCTTGGAATTCGATTTTCAATGGTATTTTCGCCTACTCGTATTTGGTTAAACAGACCAGAGTGTATTTTAAACAAATTCAAGGAATTTTAGCAAAACCATGTAAAGACTTGAGTGGCTGGGAGCAAAAATTCGAAAAGGTAATTTTTTTTTAATATTGCATCAATTTTCAAGCAAGAAGCACGATTTGAGATTAAAAAAATTGAATATTACGTAAGCGAGTGTAATAATGATTTGCGTTTTCTCTAAATATATTTTTTACAAAATTAAAAAAAAAAAGATTATGTTTTAGCTTGTCTTCGATGTGTTAAACACAATTCTGTATTATAGAACATTTTAATTTCTGTGGTGACCGAAGAAGAAAATCTCAAAGCATTTCCACGATTCTTATTTTCTCGAATGTAGATTCCACTGTAGATTTTAAAAAACGTACTTTTTTAATGTTGTACAATGTATCGTCTATGATGTATGCATAGGAAATACGAGGTTTATCTACCAAAATGAAAAGTATAAAATAATGCAAACAAAAGTCATATTTATTATGAAAATTTAGATCAAATTATTAACAAGAAAAAAGGATAAAATACACCCAAGTAAAAAGAGTTTTGTTTGCTATCCTATCAGATCATTTTGCCATATGCACGTGAACTGAACATTTATAACAATGGGTTTTTTTCGTTATCAGCTAAAAGCTGTGTTCTTCGGACAAAAACAGATCCATAAAATAAAGGCAAGTTTTAACGATTGTTTAATTGTTAGGCAAGTTCTTTTTATAGAAGAACAATAACTGGAATTAGAATTTTCTTGTAGTGAAAAGTATATTGAATTTCAATGAACATTTTTTTAAACGCTGAATTTTAGATAATTGTAATTAGTCGATATTGTTCTATCCCTTGGAAATCTAAACTGGTGCAAAGCTCAACATAAAAGAGAATGCGCCTTCATATAAAACTTTGAAGACCAAATCCAGTAGTGGCACGTAAAACTGCAAAATTAACGATTCGTGTGTATTGATTTAGTTATGGGATTGGGCAAATATAATTTTATTGGGTTATTTAACGCGCGCAGAGTACAGACATGTGCTTTGTTAAAGATAGTTCACAGATCAGGAACAATCCTTGGGTTTCATTATCCCAGAACTAGGTTTCAAAAGGTCTCTTGTTTACAAGACCATTACAGACTTTTATTTTACGATCGTACACAGGCGATATACATTTGATGCGAATTTATCGCTTTCTTTGATCATTTAATATTTTAATTCTTCAATAAATGAAATATCGAATTTACTCGGAGTTTGTCCATTTTTAATTCGATAAACTCAATATCTATTTCTAAATGGACATTGTAGCTGATGTTTGAAATAGAGATATGTTTTATTCTCATATTTCGGAATAAACGTAGTTTCGATATAGTAGTTGATCTATTTCCTAATTCAGTTTTTAATCAGGCCATTATAATTGTATATTGCAGAACTGATTCGGTGATCAAAAATGGGGAGCGGGGGTTCCAAGGCCAAAGCTTCCAGCGGCCCAAAAACAGACATTCTGAAAGAAACGGACGAGGATCCAGTAAGAAAATAATATATTTTTTACCCCCTCCCCCCCAAAAAAATAATACTTTACATATATTCAGAGTTTTCAGTGTAAGTATGTAAACTATATGGTAATGAATATTCAATCTTGCAATGGCGGAATCTTGTAAGAAACATGAGATATTTAAACTTATGAACACTTTGACATTTGATACATTTTTAAAACTACATAGACTAAATGTTCCCATCCTGTAATGACGCTAGATATTTATACTTAAAAACCTTCACATTTGATACGCTTTTTTAAAATCAAAAATTCTATTTCAGATGAATTTGGACGATTTTGTTGAGGGATACCCGCCTCCGAAACCGGTCCTGGACAAAAAGAGACATATTTTTACTACAGAGGATAAAGCGGTGGCTGATAGCAGGGCCAGTCAAGTAAGTAGCACCCCAAGTCCGAACAGAAAAGAAGAATGAAAAACAATTGTACCTGTATTTTTATCTAAAATCTAGTTAAATTTCAAAAATTTGTACGGTTTTGACCATACCCCATTGAACTCCTTGACCCACATACGATAAAAGCTGGATTTTAATAATAAAATTCTTTGTGACACCAATACATGTAGAACACCCCCTAGTCTTCACCAGATGGTGCGCTTTGCTCTCGATTGCGAATAGCAGGTATTAGACCTTAAATCTCTGTAGTAGATAAAACTGTAAAATGAACTTTATTTCTCTTTACACTTTAGATAAGAGTGGAGGATTATCAGTCCTTTGAGGCGCTGTCTCGTGCGCTTACCGAGGGATTAGGAAATGACGTGCAGAAAGTGCGCGCGCTCTTTACATGGATCGGCCTTCAAGGATCAAAGGGACATAATTCAAAGAACAACGTAGAGCCCCTGTCACCTCAACATATTGTGCAATTAGTTACCCAGAGAAAAGCCTCCTACAACCTTTTATTTGTTTCGTTATGTAGGTAAGGTAAAATAAAATAAAACAGTTCACTATTAACAAAATAGGGTTACTCATTACATCATTCTAACAGAGAGATCGTGAGAGGAAAAAAGTAAAAATTGTATATTGTTTAACGTCCCATTTGACTTGAATTTTCACTCACATAAAGACGTCACCATATACCGGTGAACGGCTACAAATTAGACCTTTATTCGGCAGTCTTGGCAATTGAGGAGTGAGGGTTCTTTAAAGGGGCTAAGTGCTTGTGGCCATTTGTAGACTATTTTGATCTCCTTTAGAAGAAGAGCTCCATATAAAGATATAATAAAATGATAAAATTTTAAAACTAAAATTTATGAAATTTTTCTTTGTCAAATGATAGTTGACAGCTTAAGGTAGAACAAAACACCCCTGGATTCTATTTTTACTAATTTCTTGAAAAATACTGGAGAAAAAAGAATAATTTTACTATATTGACAACAATGAATAACCCCTGTAAGAAAAATAACAAGTTTTTGCACGATTGCGTCATATTTTGTGAAAAAATCAGAGAATCCTATATATTGGTCACTTGTGAGCTTACATTTTGGAATGTGTTTACACTATCTAAGTGCAATAAACAAGCATGTAACAGTCTGATATAAAATGTAGTGTAACTTTTGTTCAATAAATATTAGAGGGTTGATATTTGGACACACATATAAGGAGTCTCCGTTCTTTGTGTACTTTAAAGGTCAAGGTCATATCAAGAGGTCAAAGGTCAAATATTGTGACGTCATCTACTGAATCTTTTAGTTTTTTTTTTGCCATTTAAATTTTTTTAATCGCCAAAATATCAGAAACTACTGGTTCAATTTTCTTTATTTTTACACATTTTATTCTGGGACCCATTTTAATCATTCTGTTAATTTTTTGCAAAAATTGAATTATACATTTTTTCTTTAGAAAACTTTAAGTGTAGGATATTTACATGTGAATTTTCAATTCCGACGCTATGTATGTTCTATTTTTACTTAATATTTTTCTCAAATGGTCCAGTATCAATATGACTTACTAAGTTAAAGTAACAAAAAGGTTATCTTTATCAAAATTATAGCACAAACTTGCAATAGATCAACGGATAATTCTAAAATAAGGCTCATTCTTAAGTTGAGTGTCTGATTTCACTTTCTTCTTACAGGGGTCTGATAGGCCATATTTAAGACTATGTGGGTAAAATATGTTTGGTTGAATTTCTTTCATATTATATATTAAGAGAGATTTTGTATCCTAGAACAAAATATCAAAGTTTCAGAAAAATTGAATTAGAGGAAAAATTTGGCCTATCTATTGTGTCTTACCTGAAGTTATCATATCCCAAAATTTAAGTTATATCTGGTGGTTAATAAAAAAATAATTTGTTGACCTGCTAGCCTCCTTAAGGTGCCAAACGCTTACATGTACCGTGAAGCGGGAACAGTCACTATATCTACATGTATGTTTACTTCTTAGGAAGGTTTCAATGTGGCATGGCGAACGAAAGCAAAGAAGAGGGTATACAAAGCTCAAACTCGAAGGTGGCACTTTTCTCGCCATAACACCTCACTTAATCAAGTAGATTTTTCACGTTTTTCATATACACACTGTACATGTCTCTTTCGAAAATTGTTATCTTATTATAATTGTTCTCTCAAAGTGTCGATTTTTTTCTGTATCTCTAAAAAACAGAACTCTGCAGGTAGAGCTATAAATAAAAGGCAGTTGATCGATTTATACTGAACATATTTCTGAATAAATAGTGATATGAAACACATTGTAAACACAGATCTATCGACATTGATACTAAAAAGGTAATATCTAGCATTATTCAAGCAGTAAACCACATCAAGTACCCTTCAGAAAAGACTGTTATACGGGTATATAAAGATAAATATTTTAACTGCTTTGATTTAAAACATTTTTCGTAAACGATTCCAATTTGAAGACAAAAACTGTTCCTAAATTTTCAAGATTTTTTAAAGGGAAAAAAGATTGAAAATTTAATTGAAAAAAAGATCATAGTCACAGTCAGCCTTCAGCTCAATCAATTTAAAATTCTCCCATCTTAGTGATAACGTTGTCCACGGTATGCTCCTCACAAAATACAAAACCTTCCATACTGTTATTAAAACTATAATATATATTAGGGATGTCAACGAGTACCCGGTTAACCGGGTACTCGATCGAACGTCCGAGTATCGAATACTAAAATCGGTACTCGGTTACTCGGATGTATATTTTGGAATATTTCTAATCTTATTTATTAATGCATTAAACAATCTGTTTAAAAACGTAAAATGCTCATTGCACTTGTACATACAGTAATTAGGGTTTTACGACTCTAAATGACCGTGATCGCCTGTGGCAGTGTTTATACGTTACAGTAATTATCGTGACCTGGGGTACCTGGCTTTTCTCACCTTCGGCTGCCTTCTTCCTTATTTTTTGTTTGGCTTTAATTATTTGTTTTCACTGAACATCGTTTAAGATCCATTATGTTTAGATAAATTAACTAAAACGAGAAGCCGTAAATTCTCGGGAGACGAGCGGATGATATTACACCAGAGACATATATATGGTTTTATATGTCTCTGATTACACGTGCGATTGTTGATATGTTTGTGTTTGATTACATGCCAATACAACTGGTTGAAGGCAAAGGCTTTAAAAAAACTGCTGTCCATCGTTGCATCAAACTTCATGTACAAAATACCGTCCCGTAAGACTATATAAATCTCGGATCGAACAAGTGAACTAAAATCGTGTATCTGCACTGTTAGGAGAACTTGATCAAGTTCAAGTTGATACCGTACATAGCTCTGACGACTGATACCTGGTCGTCAAACGCGACAAAGAGTTACATTACAATTACGGAGCAATTTTTTTTTTTTTAAACAAAAACAATGTGAACAACTTATGATTTTATTTCTTGTGTTTATCTGATAAATGAATTGAATTTAAAAATTGGTACCGGTATGTTAAATTTCGTCGGGCACGAAGTACTCATCATTATTATTACAACAGAAATACATTTACGGATAAGCCTCCATCAGTGCATCTGGTTTTATTTCTACAAGAGTTTACAATGTTTTACAGTCTTCAATTTACTTGTTCATATTTATTTACACTTTTACCGAGTACCCGGGTACTCGATCGGAAAAACGTCCGAGTAACCGAGTATTGAAAATTGACCGATTTGACATCCCTAATATATATACATGTACATGTACACGTATTTTCAAATTGAAATTTAGGGACACATTTCATTGTAATTGAATCAGAACAAACATATTCTGATTTTCTATTTTTTAGAGCTGTAAAAATACCCTGTGTTTTCATCCGTGGCATAGCGAAGAGTGCGGCCTACGAAGTGGGTGATAGAACAGTGGACAAACTTGGTAATTCCTGGACTGCGGTGTTTGTTTCCGGTGGGTGGCGCTTAGTGTTTCCGCTGTGGGCGTTTTCAGCTATTGTTGGTCACAGCACCGGAACATGGACACTTGTGGAATCTGATGGTGGGATTTTGAGATAATAAATAAATATCTAAAACAACTTTAACTTGATCATGAGAAATAACAAAATTAAAATATAAAAAATATTCTATATCTCGTGTTAACTCTGCAATGTTGATGAAAGATCTTTTTCATTTCTTTGAAACATAAAAAAAATATCTGAGCAAACACGAAACTCTTAAATATAAGAGGTGGGATCAGGTGTCATGGAGGAGAGAGCATCCCCTGTCGACCTGTAACACTAGCGGAATGCTCCCCGTCATGATCGGCCAAACAAACGAAAAAATCCGTAGCCAATTCAGTGTGAGAATAATGGACTAACAATTTGTATGAAAAATGACCGCAAACATTCAGTTGAATGATAGATTTTATCATACGGTTATTGTATTGACCATACAGAAATTTCGAACTGTTGACTTAAAAGTATTATAGAAGACGCCTGATGTTCTTGTTTTATCAAGTTCTTTGTCAAAAACTGGCCTAGTTTTAAAAATAAATTGTTTATGGTAGAACATAATTATTATGCTTTTGATAAATATTATATTTAATACCCTGTAACTTTCTTATTAGGTAAAGGAGCGAGAGAAACGGCAGAGAAGTCTTCGGGAACAACCGTCAGTAACTTCAATGACTATTATTTCCTCACTGACCCAGAAGAGTTCATCTATTTTTGTTTACCTCGAGACCCTGAGTGGCAGTTACTTGCAAAACCTTTTACAAAGCAGAAATTCATTGAAATAGCCAATTGTGAACAAGCTTACTTCGAAAATCATATCCAAATCACAACTAAGCTCGAATGTCTGTACACGTCTGAAAACGGTGTTTGCGATATTGGTATAAAGAAGACAAATGGAGAAGAATTTAAACACTTGTACAAACTTTACTTTAATCATGAAAAATCAAACACTAAATTATCGAAAGAAATTCAGTTAGATAGGTATGTCGCAGTTATGAACAATAAATCTGCTGTAAACTTTCGGATTCGATTTCCAGGCGCAGGAATATACAAACTGGAACTCTACGGCGGATCACCGACCGGATTTCCTCTACTTTGTTCTTTTCGTTTGGATTGTAATGAAGATGTGAGTAATGTGAATCCGTTCCCGTGTAACCCAGAGGCAGGGTTTGGACCAAATTTAGTTACAACGTCCGCAGGATTAGAAGCAGAATCTCACAAATCGGGATTCATCAACATAAAAAAGAGCAAAAACGTCAATATTAAGTTTAATATTTCTAAAAATGTTATTGTGCAGACAGTCTTGGTTCACAATAATATTAAGGAGGAGGTGCTAAGTCAACACGTCACACATAAGGTCAAAGGTAAAGAACTCGACATTAATGTGAACGTACCTCAACAAGGAGAATACGCACTTCAAATCAACACAAAAACAAAGGGGTCGTCAGAGCCCTTTAAAAACGCCTGTAATTATTTACTTGCATCAGAAGACATGAATAAAAAGAAAAGATCTTACGAGGTATAATTCCATCATTGGTAATTTTGAAAAATGTAATCTTCATATTAATTCTGTACTTTGATAAGCAATTTCGCGTTTGAATCTGGTGTGGAATTATGAAACGTACGTTCTTATCAAAATATTTTCTTGAAAAAAAATCTGCCTCTAAAATATTTAGGAAGTACTTGTAAAATCAATGTTTATATATGTATAATATATATATAATGTATATATCTTGTCAGAACGCAGCAGAAAAGAAGGCTCGAAACAATCTGAACGAATGTCTCAAGTCGAACGACCCAGAGTCGATTCAGAAAGCTTTAGACAAGTTTGACCAATTCGATTTGGACGACAATGGTAAGAGAGAAAAGGCAGAAAGAAAAAAGAATTTCCTTGTATTGCAAAAAGGTTCATGGCCATATTTATTTATTTATTTTAACATTTATTATAATGCATTTTAACGACAATGACAAAGTACACCTTAAAAAGAACAATTAACTTCATTGAGAATCTGCAAGAACAAACTTTCGTCAATATATTGATTCATAAATCTTTAATCAGATAGTTACTGTACTAGTTCATCAAATTATTAAGGTCTATTTTCAAACATTGTTAAAATCTACGGAGTATTCACCATTTCTGTTGAACTATGTACTTACGTCTGTTTTCAGTACATGATAATAAAGCATTTACATGAAAGATCTATATGCGGTATATTGCATATCTTTGCCCCTACAAAAGTCAAATTGAAAAATTCTTGAAATGTGCTGAATTTTATATATTGTATGAGAAATATAAATTGACAGATCATATTATAGTTTCAAAGTAGTTTATTGACAATTTTTGTTTTTATGACGTCACAAACTAGGTCGATTTCATATCATTTTTTAGAAAGAAGACAAAATGGACAAAATTTCAACAATTTTAGCTTTAAAATTTATAGAGCGCAAGTTTGCTCAGGAACAATATTTACATATTTCATTTATATTATCATTCTTCACATAATATCAAAATATTGAGCCTGATCAGATCTGCGCTCGGTGACTTTTACCCAAAATATCGACGTAAAATATACATTTTTTGTGCAAATCGGAAATTTTAAATTTACGTCATTTTCGTTACGTCATTTCAAACATGTGACGTCATTGCTAATGAAAATATTCACTGTTTTGAAGTCAGCATATATTCCCCTGTTTAAGAACATAATTAAATATTTCTCCGTCAAAGTTTGATTTTGGGGTGCAAATATTGCTTATTACCAAATAAAGTTCTTTCAATCTTTTTTTCTAGAATTGAAGGAGGCTATTGCAAGAAGAAATGTAGATATATTAGAGACGGCACTAGATAATGCTAAGTCGTCCGAATTTTCATCTAACTTACAAAATCAGATTAAGGAAGGAGAGCAACTATTAGGAGAGCTAAGGAAAATCAAAAGGTTCGCACACGAAGTTCTGCAGATGAAGCAGCCGACAATTTCCGAGATCCACACCTACAAACATCCCAAGCCCCTGGCTTACGACATCATGAAGGCCACATATGTTCTTCTAGGAGAAAAAGAAAGTCATTTAGAGGTACGTATACAATTTATGAATCAATTTTCCAGCGTATACCTATATTTTTATTAATGCAAAATGGGTTTGTTTTTTTTTTGTACATGATCTCAATTTTACTACTTTATAAAATCAAAAATAACCAGATCTAAAATAATTTGAATCATTTAAATCTTATGTGAAAAAAACTTGAAATCAGCTGTAAAAAATGAATGTGATCATAATGAACTTTGTAGGAATGGGAGCAAATTCAAGGTCTGATGAGGAAAACGGGGAAACAGGGGCTCTTACGGCGCGTGCGCGAGTTTGACACGATCCACGTGACCGAAAACATGGTGAACAATGCAGCACAACTTCTACGTCCCTACGACAAGGAAACAGCGGCGACAGCAAGCGCAGGCCTTGGGACCTTCTACAAATGGGTGAGTAGTCAAAAATGGAAACGAATGGATTTAAAAGAATATATGAAAAATACCATAATTGAATATGTAAGTAATTTGTTATTTTTTTTTTTATTCTACATTCCAGGCATCAAATATTGTAACAGACTCGACCTAGGCAGATTTTTCAAACATCGTTGGAATATTTCCATGGCGGTCCAAGGGGAAAATGAGTTTTTATTATTACTTAAGATACCTTTATTTATATGTTTTGTACTGTGATATTTTCTTTTGCAATATATTCGTACAAATATATATCTATGATGCATTCATGATTTTTTACTGATACATTATATATTGAAAACAATAAACATTTTAAAACTAAGCTTGCTATTATATATATCCATGAAAATATATTGTCCCAGATTTGATTTGCATTTGTTTTTCTTATAAAGGTAAAATACTAACTTCGCTCTGTGATGCAGCAGATAAAACTGAAGGTTCAAATGGCGAGCTTTATTGTTCTATTGTTAGGGTTTGATGGTGAAGAATATCCTCGGGGTATAAAATCATCTCTACATGAAAAGAAATCCTTCTTTTCCT